TTTTTGACAGTCTCACTTTGACACCCTTGGTAGAGTGCTGTGGTGTCACAGCTCACAGCAACCTCCAGCTCTTGGTCTTAGATGATTCTCTTGCCTCAGCCTCCTGAGTAGCTAGGACTACAGGTGCCCACCATAACACCCGGCAATTTTTGTTGTTGTTGTTGTTGCAGTTTGGCCAGGGACGTGTTTGAACCCACCACCCTCGGTATATGGGGCGCCCTACTCACTGAGCCACAGGAGCTGCCCTTCACAGGCAGTTTTAAACTCTAAGGGTCTAACTCAGTGGGGTGCTGTACAACCTTGTAAGTGTTGTCCTGGAGATGGCACTAACAAGGTCTCAATTTTTTTAGACCCTAATTCCTCTTGGGCTAACATCTTCCTACTCAAGCAAAAAGGGAAACCCATACTGCCAAGGAGTGGCCAACCACATGGACATGGCTGCTCAGAGGATATAGATACTCCTAACTCAAGTGATCGGTGTTCACTGGATTTGCCTTCATGGTGGCTTCAACTTCCTCCTACCCTAAGTCTTCCTCTCTTTTCTCCCCAGGATCTAAGGGGAGAGTGAAAAGTGGAAAAATGTCTCAGAGCATGAGGAAAAGCTGGAAGAGCGTGGTCCAGTAGCCCTTAGGATCGGAGCAGGGAGGATTCCCAGGGTATACTGCCAGGAGCATGCTTGCTATCCTCAGACCCCTTAGGCCTAGTCTGGGTGATCCCAGGTTCTTTCCTAGGTCTCTTGGTCTGTGGATTCAGTTGGATCCTGGCAACTGAAGGGTTAAAGTTAGTGCCTAAAGGGATTGCACCAGGGGCTGGAATGCCATTGATATGGAGAGGTGAGGACTCCTCAGTTGTTACCCTCTCAATGGCACTTTAACTTATCTACTGGAATCCCCTCCCCCATCACCTCCATTGGGGGAAAGAGGTGGGGGAAGGGAACCTTCCCATCTGTACTATCCAAAGAGGAAACCAAGGCTAGCTCTCCACCAGCCCCTTCAAGGGGTGAGAAAACTGGACCTCATCTTTGTCCGCTCTGGGAAAACGGAGGGGCAGGGAGGTTTAGCGGGTAAAAGAAACCTTAGTTCATCTTAGATAGGGTAGAAAGGGATAAAAAATGTGGCCTGGGTGGGTGCCTATACTCAGTGGTGGTTAAGGCGCCAGCCACATACTCTGGGGCTGGTGGGTTGAAACCGATCCAGGGCCTGTTAAACAAAAACAAACAAAAAAATAGCCAGGCATTGTGGTGGGTGCCTGTACTCCCAGCTACTTGGGAGGCTGAGGCAAGAGAATCACTTAAGCCCAAGAGTTTGAAGTTACTGTGAGCTGTGACATCATGGTACTCTACTGAAGGCAACATAGTGAGAAAAATAAATAAAAATGGAAAAAAAAAATGTGGCCTGACAGCAAAAGAAGAGAACTAATAAGTTGGCATGGTGCCAGGCATGGTAAGGGCAGCATCCTCCACTGCTTCTGTGGGAGACAGAGACCCTCATTTTACAGGTAGAGAAGATGGTCCCCTGCCTCCCAAACCAAGATGCAGGTAAATTCTACAGATTGCACAGTACTTCTCACCAGATTACCCACCTTGGTTTCACAGCCAGTTAAGGGAGTGGGACCAGGTGTGCAAGTGGGGAACAGCCGGGCCTGACACAAACCAGATAAGGCCTTCAATGTCTTCTTTCAGGGCTTGTGAAGCTGGGCCTCCCCAGACCTCTTTCCCAGCAGGTGGTAGAGCAGGGCCCCCTCCCTCACCCAGGCCCCAGTTCTCCCCTCCAGACATCACTCTCAATGTTTGTGTCCTAGTGAAAGTGTCCTTCATTCCTTACTTGCAGTGTGCAGGCAGCTGAAGCCCAGCAGATCTGGACTACACCCCTCCACCCCCAGGGCAAATCACAATGCCTAACCCTGATTGCCTGGATGCAGAGGGGAGTGGCATACTCGCTCTTAGGTTTGTCATGTCCCCAGGCTAGTGTCCCACACACCTTGGGAACCATTGTACATACTGACACAAACTAGAGGAGGCCTTCAATGTCCTCTCTCAGGGCATGTAAATGTGATTTCACTTGTAAATCTGGACACTCTGTTGACTGAGTAACAATTAACTTTTATTATCAGTCAGAATTGTCAGCCTTCAGCAGCTTATCACTCCCAGCTCTGAGAGTACATTCATTCTTGTCCTTCCTGTTTACTGGGGGTCCTAGTGGAGAGAGAAGGTCTATACAAGGTGAAGGAGGATGAAGAGAACTGAGCCATAATTCAGAGACGGGGAAAGGCAGCCACTCTTTTTCTTTCAAGCCCAATAAGAGCTTTATCAAGGTATTGGTGCAATCAGCTCCTACCCAAGGACTCCAGGGCAGCAAGGGCAAGGCCTAAAACATAGTAAGTTCTGGGAAACCAACTATGGAGGTAACCCGGCCCTGCAAGGGAGAGGATGCTGCCTATGTGGACTGCACGTTGGCATGCAGATTCTGTGAATGTGACTTATTTATTAAAATGGTCTGGCCGGGAGCCCATAGCTCAGTGTTTAGGGTGCCAACCATATGCTCAAGGGCTGAT